TCTCCGGGAGGCGCATATTTGTGTGTGGCCGGCGTGAAGAGGTTAAAAATAAAAAATTTTAAAAATGTCCCTTGAAGTAGATCCAATGCCAATCACGATGCCCCCCGCTGCCGCTACTCGTTAAAAAAAAGGAAAAAAACCCCACTGCGCTCAGGAAACTGATCCCCGCAGTCTGACAGCTGCACCCCCCGATGAAAGCCCCCTTTAGTATAGTGTAAAAGAGACAGTCTTTGACATGTCCTTTATTAACCCCTTCACGCCGGAGCCTCCCGGCCCTTTAAGGGTTCCAGATGCCGGGAGGCAGAGTGGGGTTTAGAGACACGTGACCGCCGTGATGTGCCGTCACAGCGGTTACATGATCGGGAAAGGTTGTGGGGGTCTGTGGGTGGGGGGGGCTTATCAGAATCTTGAAGCCCCCCCATGTGAATGAGTATGGGGTACATGGTACCGCTATGCATTCACAAAAAAAAGTGTAGTGTAAAAAAACAGTAGACAGCCTTGATAGGTCCTTTATTAAAAACAAAAATAAAAAATGTTTCCTGAAATAGATCCAATGCCAATCGTGATTCCCGCCACTGACCCAAAAAAAAAAAAAAAAACACTTCACTCTTGACGCTGGCTCCCGCCATCTGACAGGTGCACAGGCCTGAGAGTTCCTAAATATCTAAGGGGCAGGGCCACCCAGTGATGTCAGTGACCCAGCCCCCTTGTGATGTCATGCGCTGTGATTGGCCAAAAGCATTGCACCTGACCTGTGATCAGGTGCATTGCTTTGGCCAATCACAATGCGCTGTCAGAGTGCAGTGCATTGTGGGGCACGGTGGGCGAATAGCCGAACACGTGAACGGTCGATGTTCAAGTCAAGCCCAACATTACATACAAGTAGGTACTGTGAAATATAGAGAACGTATGGGTCAGCACTGTGAGATTGACAGAACATTTGGGCAGGGGCGGACTGACAACTCATGGAGCCCCTGGGCAATAGGGGATCATGGGGCCCCTGTGTCCTTGCCCACAGTCAAAAAAAGCCTATAAAAAGGTACCAGGGGCATTTCATGAGGCCCTCTACTGACCCCGGGCCCCTCGGGCAGTGCCTGAGTTTTCGAACGGTCAGTCTGCCCCTGCATATGGGTCAGTGCTTTGGAGTGAAAAAACATTTGGGTCATTACTAGGAGAATAAGAGAACATATGGGTTGGTAGGGTGAGAGTGAGAGGACCTAGGGGTCAGTACTTGGAAGAGAAAGATCATATGAGTCAGTACTGTAACTGAAAGAACATATGGGTCAGCACTGTGAGATTGACAGAACATATGGGTCAGTACTTTGAGATGGGTTGTGATTTGGGTCAGTACTAGGAGAAGAAGAGAAAACATATGGGTTGATAGGGTGAGAGTGAGATGGGACAGTACTAGGGGTCAGTACTAGGAGAAGAGAGAGATCATATGAGTCAGGACTGTAAAGATCATATTAGAGAACATTATAGAGGGTCAGCACTGTGAGATTGAGGGTCTGCAAACCTGTTGTGCCCATTATGAGGGATTCCCACCAGGGCATAGTCTGTAAAAATGTCATACACTCAGTTTGCATGTGGCTGCTCCACTGTGGTACTAAAATAATTAATGATTAAATAAATGATTAGTCTTACCATCTATTAATGTTTGTACTACATAATCTTTGTTTTGTTTTTATAGTACATCATTGCTGCTGCTTTCACCATTAGAGCTCAGGCTAAGCCTAACATCTGCATGGTGAGTTTTTACTGAATAAGCATTTTTTTTATTATTATTATTATTATTATTATTATTATACAGGATTTATTTATCTACACCAGTGGACCCTCACCAGTAATTTGCTATAGTAAGGTCTCACTTTTTGGCATTCCCTCTGAAATATATGTCAATGCCATTACGCTGAGCCCACCCATGCAACTCCATTAAACACTTTTAACCATCTTCTGCTGAGGAAGGTACTTGTCACTTGCTCACCACAGGTTAATGCAGGCCATAGTCGGGTCGAAAATCGCCGATTTTTCAGCCGAAAAAAAAAACAATCGGCCGATTTTCACACCGTTAGTGGGTTAATTGGTTGGCCATTTTTCGGGGTTTTGGCAAATTTTTTTTATCAGTAAAGCTGGGAAAAAAAATCTTGCCGATTTTGCCAATCTGCCGATTTTCCCGGCAATGATGGGCAAATCGGCCAATCGTTTTACCGAAAAAAATCTGCGCATGAGCCATGACCTGCAAGAAGAAAAAGAAGAAAAAGAAAGAATTCCAGTCCGCTATTATATTTTATAGGAAAAGTCTTGCAGTTGCAACAATGTATCTATTTGTATCCGAATAAAAACATCTGTATCCAAAATGATTACAAATAGATACATTGTTGCAACCGCAATACTTTTTCATGTCAAATATAATAGCGGAGCTCTCTGCAAGGGACAGAAGTAAATGCTGGCCATAGGGACAAAAAATCGGCCATTTTTTTTTTTACCGTTGGTGGTAACGTCGGCCGATCGAATGACTGATTTTTTTGGGGGGTTTTATAAAAAAAATGGTCGGTTTTCGACCCGTCTATGGCCTGCATAACTCTTTCATTGGCCAATGCTTCCTCATGCTAATATAGCAGTTCTGTTTCTTTATCTCTGTATTTATTTATTTTTTTTTTGCTATGGTAAGACACCCCACTAACAGCTGAAACATCAATGAATGTTTCACTACTAAAATGCAGCATAACTTCATCATAGAACTCATGCGGTATTTTAGTAACTGTGCGGTATCTTATCACATACTCAGATGCGGTAAGATACTGCTCAGTTGTTCGGTTTGTGTTCAAAGTTCACGGTCGAACATTCTGTAGGTTTTGATGTTTGACCGTGAACAGGGGGGTGTTTGTCCCATCACTACTGATCACCCCCACAGTAGTACAGTGTCACTCTACTGCTAGGGAGATTATATATATAAATTTAAAAAAATACATAAATAAATGTAAAAAAAAATTAAATAACAATTAAAACTTTTTTTTTTTTTAAAGCACTGCCTGTCAAACTCAACCATGGAGTTCAATGGGACCACACTGCAACCGCATGCAATGCAAGTGATTGTGGAATGGTACTGCAACATTACTGGGTTAAATCAGGCAGTGAGGAGGCAAAATAACATCTCCTTGTTGCCTGCCAAATGTCCTCTGAAAAGCAATCTGAACATTGATCACTCTTCAGAGGGCACCACGGTTGTGAAAGAGCCCATACTTCCTATCTAGAAGCACTGCAGTACATGAAAAGGGATTTCTCCAAAGTGGGAGAGCTTTCTGCCTTGATAGCCTTTCCCCGTTCCCCTCTAGTCCTACTTTAGTAAAGATTACACATTTTTTACATTTCAGATCCAGTGACAGATAGAGATGATAAATCTCCTTGGTGGGGACACAGATAGCAGGGTTAGACAGAGGTGACAGGGTGCTAATCCTTCCCCACCTAAAATTTATGAAAAAAACTGCTTGGGTACACTTAAAAGAAGGGCAAACGTTCTTATTTTAACTGCTCACCTGAGAGATTGCAGAGTGGAGATATACTGTACTTACCTAATCTGCCAATCCTCCAAGCGCAAGAATGATCACTGCAACTTCTGCCCCCCCGCACGCTAGCAGTCTTGTGAATGGAATGTTCCTGACGTCATCATGCCCATAGACTGGCTTTGGATGTGAGAACGGTAGGAACAGTCCATCTCTGGATGTGGGGGAGAGTGGTTTTCTGGAGGGTCGAAGGATCAGGTAAGTATAGCCTTTCTGTGCACCCCCTAGACAAATTGAAGAAGTAAACCATGCAGTGCGGGTCCATGCATCGTACGGTAGTGACAGAGTGCGGGGGGGGGGGGAGGGGTTACACACAATCCAGTGGCTGCAGCCCACCAGGACTGGGTATAAAACTGAGAAGCAGACTCAGCCTGTCAGGTGGAAGCAGTCGGGTGGCTGCGTTGCTGCTCGATTACTTCCACACACCCACGGTAGCAGCACCCCTCTCGTGCATGCGCTCACATGCCCCTACCATGTGTTCTGGGCTCTGCTTGCTCATTTGCAGGGAAGAAAGGAGACCGGACACATGTCCTCCCTTTCGTGCTGTGCTCCAGAAAGCAACATGTATGATGTCAATTCTGGGTCATCCTGTTTAGACCCTGCATGTCTCATTAAAGAGAACCTGTCACCTAAAAATCATCACATCGGGACTTTTTGTCCCCATGTGATGTAAAAAAAGTTAAGAAAAAATTTAATTTACACCTAAGCACATAACATCCCCTTCAAAAAAGAGCCCCCCCCCACACACACACACATATACCAACTTAAACGCATGTGTTGGAGCGCCTACGCGTAAAAAAAAAAAGTTGATTGTTACATAATGCCATGTGCTCCAGAGTGAGAGCAATAATTCTAACACAAGACTTCCTCCATAACACTAACCTGATGGCCTGTAGGGGCTTTTGAAGCATCACCTATAGAAATAAAGGGTACTGAAGCTTGTTGCCATTACACGAGCGCAGAGACATTTAAGGTTTGACATGTTGGGTATCTATTGGCGCAACCTCGTCTTTTTTATATTTTACCAAAAATGTGGGTAATTTATTGTGTGTATTTTTTGTTTAAGGATTTTGTGTATTTTTCAGGCCTAAAATTATTGTTTTCTGTATGCAAAAAAAAAATAATGAAAAAATGGCAGCGAAAGGGTTCAAAATTAGACTGCTGTAAGGGCTTTATACAATGTTCCAGTTTGAATGGAGTCCCCACTAAATGTTTCTGGTATTTTTTCCAGATAAAAATCTCTTTTGGCTTACATTTTGCTTCCACCTTCATCAGTTTTCTGCACTAGTTATGGTCTGTGTGGATCTGATCGTAATAAGTCATGACAATTACCATCACTACATGAAAGGATCAATTGTAAGTACTTAAAATAAAAAATCCATAATGATATTGTATATATAGATATTCAGTATATATACATTATATTGCCAAAAGTATTGGTCCCAGCCCTCCAAATCATGTGATTCAGGTGTTCCAATCACCCCCATGGTCACAGGTGTATATTAAATCAAGCACCTAGGCATGCAGACTGCTTCTCCAAACATTTGTGAAACAATGGGTCACTCTCAGGAGCTAAGTGACTCCAAGCATGGGTCTCGTGATAGGTTGCCACCTGTGCAATAAGTCCATCCGTGACATTTCCTGGCTACTAAATATTGCACACTCAACTGTTAGTGGGATTATAACAAAGTGGAAGCAATTGGGAACAACAGCAACTCAGCCACCAAGTGGTAGGTCACGTAACATGACAGAGCGGGGTCAGTGTATGCTGAATGCAGTGCAGAAGCGTTTATTTACTAAAGTGGAGAGTGACTCCCTTCTGATAGAAACATCCAAGGTTTCATTGTCATTGAACAAGGAGGTAGAATAGCTAAAGACTTCCAGCAAATGGTGTCTGTGGAGTCAATAGCTTCAGATTGTGTGGCCTTCAGATTAGCCACAACAACAGTGCGTAGAGAGCTTCATGGAATGGGTTTCCATGGTCAAGAAGCTGCATCCAAGCCTTCCATCACCAAGTAAAATGCAAAGCATCAGATGCCGTGGTGTAAAGCACGCTGCCACTGGACTCTAGAGCAGTGGAGACGTGTTCTCTGGAGTGACCAATCATGCTTCTCCATCTGGCAATCTGATGGACGTGTCTCGGTTTGGTGGTTGCCAGGAGAACGGTACTGGCCTGACTGCATTGTGCCAAGTGTAATGTTTGGTTGAGGGGGAATTTTGGTATGGGGTTGTTTTTCAGGGGTTGGGCTTAGCCCCTTATTTCCAGTGAAGGAAATCTTAAGGCGTCAGCATACCAAGACACTTTGGACAATTTCATGCTCCCAACTTTGTGGGAAGAGTTTGGGGATGGCCCCTTCCTGTTCCAACATGACTGCACACCAGTACACAAAGCAAGTCCATAAAGACATGGATGAGGGAGTTTGGGATGGAGGAACTTGACTGGCCTGCACAGAGTCTGACATCAGTGCCTGACCTCACAAATGTGCTTCTGGGTGAATAGTCAAACCTTCCCATAGACACACTCCTAAACCTTGTGGACAGCCTTCCCAGAAGAGTTGAAGCTGTTATAGCTGCAAAGGGCGGGCCAACTCAATATTGAACCCTACAGACTAAGACTGGGGGGGGGGGAGCCATTAAAGTTCACGTGTGTGGAAAGGCCAGCGGCCCAATACATGTGGCAATATAGTGTATATTTACTATGTTCATATGTTTCCTTTTTCAGTCAGTCATTTTTGAAAAATTGTAAATAAATAGAATTCTCATCTTTAGCCAGAAAGTGATGACCTTGGCTAACTTTCCTATATTTTCCAGGATGTCTTTATTTGACTAGAAACAGATACAGTTTATTGTTGATCTGGTTCTTGTGTTTCTTATGGGGGGGGGGGGGCACATTCACCGGCTATGATTGTTATGAACTGTAAGGGCTCTCACCATCTGCAGAGATACCCAGGAAGCAATGGTTTGATGTCCAGTGCGGAGCTGTGCAGGATTGAACAGCATGTCTGCAGTTTTCCTCACAGCTCCGTACCGGAATGCAGGCAAAATGGACAGCACTGCTCTATATTCACCCCGTATGACAGGAAGTGGGAGGGTACACAGGGTGGTGCTTGGCATCTGTGCTTCCTGCCTACCTTCTCTCCTGTCAGATGCCTGCTGGGATCATGCTGCCACTGGGTCTGTGATGGTGGGAAGGGGGGATGTTGCTGACACTGATGGGGCTGACAGATGAAAGGACACTGATAATGGGGGACAGATAAGAGGGCCCTGATGGTAGGGGATACTAATGGTGGGGAACAGATAAGGGGACACTGATGGGGTACAGATAAAGGGGCACTAATGGTGGTGGGACAAATAAGGGGACACTGATGATGGAAGATAGATAAGGGGGCACTAATGGTGGGGGACACTTATGGGGGGACAAATAAAGGGAGCCTGATGGGGGGGGACACTGATTGTGGGGGACAGATAAGGGGACACTGATGGTGTGGGACAGATAAGGGGACGCTGATGATGGGGACACTGATAGTGGGGGACAAATAAGGGGGCACGAATGATGGGGACGGATAAGGGGGCACTGATGGTGGGGGACACTGATGACGGGGGACAGATAAGGGGGCACTGATGGTAGGGGACACACGTATGGGTGCAGATAAAGTTACACTGATGGGGTTGGACACTGATGGTAGGGGACAGATAAGGGGATACTGGTGATGGGGACACTGATAGTGGGGGACAAATAAGGGGGCACAAATGGTGGGGACAAATAAAGGGGCACTGATGACGGGGACAGATAAAGGGGCACTGATGCTGGGGGGCACTGATGATGGGGGACAGATAAGGGGGCACTGATGATGGGGGACAGATAAGGGGACATGGATGATGGGGAACAGATAAGGGGACATGGATGATGGGGAACAGATAAGTGGACACTAAAGGTTGAGGACAGATAAGGGGGCACTAATAGAGGGGGGGGGGACTGATGATGGGGGGACAGATAAGGGGACATGGATGATGGGGAACAGATAAGTGGACACTAATGGTTAGGGACAGATAAGGGGGCACTAATAGAGGGGGGGGGACTGATGATGGGGAACACTAATGAGGGAGTGATGACACAGGATGTGAGGTCAGTCTGTGCAAATAAAAAACACTCCCAGAAATCTGATGGAAACTCATGTCTGCGTGGTTGTACCATCAGTTTTATACACGTGTGGTGTGAACGAGCCCTTAGGTGTTTTTACAGGGACTTCGTTGCTAAAAAAAAAAAAAAAAAAAAAAAATCAGCCAATACATTGCTACAGTGTCCCTACGGTGTTCTATTGACATAGTGGCCAGCCTTAGAACAGCAATGCCCTGGTATGTATTCATTCTTTCATTACAATAACTATGATAACTATTTAGTTAATAATGTATTACTTAATTAATAAGTAATACATTATTACTTAATAATTGATTAAATAATAAAAATACATTAATAATTGAAATATTTCTTTACATGGTATTATATTACAAAATAAATTATATTCACTTTTTCTAAATAATTAATGTATTATTTAATAATTAAATAATGAAACATAATAATGAATTTGCTCTACTGTTACAAACTGGATAGTTTTCTTTTTTTTTTTTTTTTTGCCAAAGCATTGCTTTAATATGTGCTGGCGCCCAAATTTTGAAATGTTTAATACACAATCTTATTTTTGATTTCTGATGAATTTATTGGCTGTTAGATTTATACAGGGTGTTTCCCCTTTTTATTTGTCCTAATGAAATCACTGTAAAAAGGGCATGTATATAACTCCTGTATAGTCAGCTCCATATGGAGGCCACAATGCTGTATGGTTAGTCAAATACCTCAGAGAGAAAACTATACCACATTTTGATCACTAGATGAAGCTAGTGATACAGGAATGAATCATTTAGAAAAAAATATGGTGACATTCCAGCAGGCCATTCATGGGTTGAATTCTAAAAGATTTTTTTTATCAAATACATCGTTCTTTCTGTAATCCGATGGTGCCACCAATGATTTCGAAAATCGTTGTTGTTTTTCACAAATTTTCCAGCATGCCTGATAAACGAAATGGGAAGGAACCACGAAAATCTGCCGGTACCATTGACCCACAAACAGAGAGAAAACATCAGATTATTCTTAGAACGAAAAATCATTCAAAAATCGAGTCACGTATGGCCGGCCTTACTTTAGCTTGCATGAAAACCTTTGAAATTAAACGCAATGAATGTGTCATGCCTAGACCCCTAATATTAATTTCACTAATTTGCTCCCTTCTGGTCTGTTAAATATATCATTGAAAGTAATTTGGTGCAAAATAACCGCACAAAAAATAAAAAAATTAACAAAAAATGTTTTTTTTTTCTTTTTTTTAATCACAATTCTCTGGGATAGAAATACATAGACAAAAATATTCATAAAGTGTAATCTATTAATGCTAAAAAAATGTTTACAATTAGAATTGGAAATGAATTAAAATGATGTTCACAATTAGAAATTTACCATTTTAAATGTACAATTAGAAATATTGAAAGTGTAACTCCACTTTCGTGGGAAAAAAAAATAGCAAATAAAAACAAAAATAATATAGCGCATACAATTGCGACTCAAGTCATAATGTAATTGGAATATTATTGAAAATGACCTTTCCTTTTCAGTGTGCAGCTCTGTGATTTTCTGTAAAATGCAATGCAATATGACTACCTGTAGGTGTTCTGCACACGGAGTGAAAATGTAATTTCCTGCTCGTGTGATTGGCTCACTGATTTTCCCAGAAGATAAAAGGCTGATTTCAGGCATCCCATGCAACAAAATGTCATTGTTGGTGAGATACACATCTAAAGGGATGCAGACCCTGCCATTTTCCTCATTAGAGCCCTGCATTTGCAGCAGTTGATTGATAATGATAAAACCGCTCCCATACAGATTCCTTCTGCACATGGACACAGACCAGCAAACAGCTATTTCTTCTGAATAACAAAAGGTAGGAATCTGCAAGAAAGTTTGTTAAAATCCCTGCAATGTACATAGATCACCCAGAGGGGAGAGGTTTTTTTCTCAGCAAAAGTGGAGTTACGCTTTAATGCTGTTTTTCACTTCGCTGATAATACAATTAGCAGCATATTATAATTTCACGCATGTCGACATGGCTTATCAAAATAAAATAAAAAATAAAATGAAATTAAAAACAAAATAGAAAATACAATAAAATAAAATATATTCTTGCTAATTGTGCTGAAAAAAACAACATGTAAGGGATGTCTTGTTCTACGCACCAAATATTTTTAGTGTGTTATATGTGATAATTCTGTATGTACAACACTTCTTTTAATAATAAATTATACTTTGTGTATTTATTTCATTGTCTATGTATTTGTACCCCAGAGCACAGGGATTAAAATTCCCACTTGTTGTTAATGTTAGTGGTGCTCTGAAATTAAAATTCCAATACCAAAACTGAAAATTCAGGAAGCTTTGGCCGAATACCAAAACGGGCAGTTGTTTTTTTAATTCAAGTCACTAGGAGGTGTTTTGTCATTGAAGTCAATGGGATGTGATTTTGCCCTGAAGTCAATAGGACACGATTTAGCATTGAAGTCTATGGAACGTGATTTTGCATTGAAGTCACTAGGGGTGTTTTTTAAATTGAAGTCGCTAAGGGGCGTTTTTGCATTGAAGTCAATGGGACACGATCTTGCATTGTAGCCTACAAGATCCGATGTTGCATTGAAGTCTATGGAACGCACTTTTGCATTGAAGTGACTAGGGGTCAGTTTTGAACTGAAGTCTATGGAACACACTATGGGACACGATTGTGCAATGAGGTATATGGGACGCAATGTTGGATTGAAGTCTATGGGATGTGATTTTGCACTGAAGTCAATACGGCATGATTTAGCATTGAAGTCTATGGGACATGATTTTGCATTGTAGTCACTAGGGGGTGTTTTTACATTGAAGTCACTAGGGGGAGTTTTTGCATTGAAGT